CACGTGACGTCAACGGCAGGGTTCGGTTTCTGCAGTGGAAAAAACAACCTGCTGCCTCCTTAGCCGGGCCAAGCTGTTTCGGCATGGCCTTAGCACGGCTCTGCTGTGAAGTGGAGAAAAGAGATACGAGGATAGTATTTGGGAGCCTGTTCATGAGAGGCAGGGCCTGTGCTGGATAATTTTCATTCCTGCACTCCTTTCACCACCCAGAAAGGATTTGTTGAGAAATGGCAAGTATATTTTCAGTGACTCTTATCAAATGTCCATGATACCGACAATACCAAAACAACACTATTCACTGTAATGGCATTTTATGACACGTGGAATTCTCAAAGCGATGTTCTCCAGCAGAGAAGTTTTTATTTATAACCCGGCTGGAGCCAAATGTCACCTAACATTACTTTTGGTAGAGCGGTTTGCATAACCAGAGATGTTGAAAAAAGTTAGGGTCTTCATGGTCAAATGATCAGAGGTGCCTTATCTGATACACATTAGTGATTCTGAATGTGATGGAAATTCTAGATTTATTTGACAGAGGCCATCCTCCACATAGGACATCCACTATATTCTTTGGGTCTTTCGGTAAAGTCATGTAGATAGGTTCAAAGAAAATAACAAAAAACTACGACGTTCGTAGTTTTTGTTATTTTTGTTATTTCTTTTAACCTATCTACGTCACTTTACCGAAAGACCCAAAGAATATGAATTCCTGCAGCCACGAGAGCTTTAAGTCATGACATCCATTGTTATTCATCCATTATCTATCCACAGCTGGATGCAGGCTTCCCCATGGCCAACGCCACCCCTCGCGATCCTGAGATTCCACGTTTTCATCTCACTTCTGACCATTGCATTGACCTCATTGCTCCCAACTCATTAGTAGTACTCCTCTCCGGTATGTTCTCTTGTTATTGATGCCATTCCATCACCAGGCTTGTCCATAGGCCAACATCCCTTTCGTGATGTGCCCTACCCCCATGCCCAGTTATGTCCTTAAATCGATGTCTATCATTCGCTTTTCTTCCGTTACCTTTGCCGTTCTCCATGTTTCTGATCGATGTTGACGCTGTGGGATACATGCACCGATTCAAAACTGTCGTCTTGTCATTCTGCTGCTTTTCAGAGACAAATTTGGTGCTTGAAAAGCACTCCACCGTGCTTTGATCGCTACGCAGCAACAATAGTTCTACTGTCCTTTGTATGGGATAATGGGGATGAGTTGGCCATCGGTGGAAGTTGAACTCACGACCTCAAAAAAACCACACGCAGTTGTTCTACCGGTGAACTTTCCCAGTTGCTAAACAAAGAAGGGTCCTTTTTTCATATAAATACATGTGATTTAGTCGTGAGTTATTCCAACTTTGGATTTAAGCCACGACACAAGTACACAGGAGGTCTTCTCTTGGGAATTATGTCACAAGGTCTTTAATGTGCCCTTTGAAGGCAATCCGCTGCAGCTTTACTGGGCACACACAGGAGTCCTATGCATGAATGCTGGCAGGCATATTACCCCTTGCACCATTGGGTTTCACCCACGGAGTCAACGCCACATGAGTTGTATTGAGGGTACGAGCAAAGTCGGCAACATCTCTCATCACTACATTAACTGAAAGCACAATCAGCCCTTTTGTCGACTCACTGAAGGCATCTGAATGTGGTGTCATGTTTTTTTTTTGGGGGGGGGGTTTGTTTGACCATACTTCACCACGACGGTCACTGCGCATTGGTTAAGTGTTCGCCGAGAACCGGTTCGCTTAACACGTCACTCGCCGCTGACATTTGTTGTCTGTGACCAGGTAGAGAACTCAGGTCGCCGGGTTTAGAGAGCAGTGCGCTAACATCTGTGCCACCACTCCGACAACTACTTCCACAGAGCTTTCCGTAACCGTGAACAAATGTATCACTCGTCTACGTTCGAAGCAAACAATTGTGCGGAAGTTGGAACCCTGCCCACACAGTGCCTCGTTGCACTTGAAAGAATTCTACGCAACGAGGTCAGGTTCTTTGATCATCCAGAACTCAGCGATTCACCCCAATCAGTTGCCTCCTTATAACTCTTCTATCACTACTATCAGGCTGACCATTTTTCTTGGGTTTTTTCGGTAAAGTCACGTAGGTAAAAAATAAAAAATCACGACGTTTCGGAGGCAACACAAGCCTCCGTCTTCAGGTGGAACCGTCACAGCACGCTCGCTGTATCAAGTAAATGTATCAAGTAAATACAGCGAGCGTGCTGGGACGGTTCCACCTGAAGACGGAGGCTTGTGTTGCCTCCGAAACGTCGTGATTTTTTATTTCAATTTTTATTTTTTACCTACGTGACTTTACCGAAAAAACCCAAGAATATGATTCCTTGCAGTCACGAAAGCTTCAAATCTACAAGGGTTGCCATTTCCATGAACTTCCCTCATAGATTCCGACACTGGTTCGTCTCATCCAAACTGTGTTCCACCACCGCGCTACAGCTCCCAGCACTTTGCTTGCCGCGTTTTCCCCCTTGCACTGTTTCCCTTCGGAATTCGCTCCCATCATTTATTTTCCCAAGTTCTCAGGCAATGAACTCAAGTTGCAGGCGCAAAGCGCAGTGTGCAAATCGTTGTGCTATCTCTCCACCCCCGGATTGCTGTGCGATGTATTATGTATGTTGAACTTCTTTCGCACCCGTACGTAGCCAATTAATCGGAGGTGAATACAAGCCGTGCAATACATTCTGAATTGGAAATCTGCAATGTGGAATCAATCATCGTCAGCCATGGTCTATCCACTGGTGGATGAAGGGCTCGTTTTCGTTAGCACAGTACGATGACCGCTCTGCCACCTTTGCCAATTAAAGTGAAGGCAAAGTGTGCGGTTGTGATGGGAACTCCGTCAAGAGACATCGCGGATTGGCTAACGGCCCACCCGTAGCGGAATGCCACAGGTGAGCTGTGAGCCGAAATATATCCCCAATGGTGAACTGAGAGATGACCACATTTAACAATGGGTATAGCCTCCTGAACGGACAAGCCTGATAATATGCGCAGTTTGACAAGTCGATTTCTCAATTTAACTGTTTACAAAGGCTAATTTCAAAACGCGGGTGTGCTGACATTTAAAAAGTGACAGCGTTCATCTCTCGGGGGGATCCTTTGCACGACTAAATCATCCCAACGCAGCCCAAAGTGGCTCCTCCTCATGAGCAGTAACAGAAACGCTCATTAATACTTCAGGCCTAATAGCCACAGGGGCTACCCTCGAAAAACGTGGCACAGTTGACCGTGGTTGACATGAACGCATGCACGCAGGATATGCTCGTGCTGAACTTTCTTTAATGTTTTTTTTTTATATATCCTGGATTCCCCCCCCCCCCCCTTTGGCATGGCAGAGTTGGACGCGCGCTAAACAAAGACTCTGTTTTTTTTTTACACACTGATCGCTGTGAATCCATCTTGAACCCCCTTGAATTCCAAGCCAGTTTGGAGTTAGACTGACGGATGAAAAAAAAAAGCGCATAAAGAATGGAGCAGTGTAAAATCATAATCCGATAAAATTATGGGCACTAATTACATTACTCTAGACATGACCCATCTGTGTGTAGTTTTCCCTGAGCCGAGACTTGCCTGAGCATTCAACTCGCTGTGGCAGTCCGCCTGGCACAGTCAAATTCATCTTTTTCCCTTTATTGTACTGAACAGCGGAACAATTCTGTTTTTTTACAACGGCGTTTAATATGGATGAGAATTATCTTGCTCCATCGCTTGTGAAGAATTAAAATGTATTACACGCGTAATCTGGTATGAATTCACCCGTGAATGGGTCCCTTTGTGTGTGAAAAATGTGGTGTTAACTTGCGTATAATACAACTTTTGTACTGAGCTCACCGAAATGCAAGTCTGAGATAAACAACGGTCGTACAAATCGCCATGTAACGCATATTTAAATGACACCGTGTGTTTTTATTTTATTTCTTGCGACGGATTTATCGGCGTACGCTGCATACTGCGGATACTTGACCTGGACTTGAGTCAGAAATGCGTTCACTCGCCTTCTCTCTACCATCAAACCGCACTAATGGGCTAATCACCTGTTGGGCATACAAGGAGGGTAATTGTGCCAACGTTATACCCCGGGAAGGGAAATGTAATGGGAACTGCAGTAAGGAATGTTCCATTATTGTGGGTCTGGATAATTTGGTAAAGAAACCACCGGCCGTAATGGCCTCCTCTCGCAAAACAGCTTCCTGAGATCTTTAACGACTTATCCGTTCCCAACAAAAGATACTACTTTATATTCAACGTGCAGTATGCCTGGCAGGATTTGCTTTCACACACACAAACCAGTTCTTTTTTCCTTTAGCCACATGCCCAATGGCTCGTTTGATCCACGAACAATAACACGAGGAAAACATTTCGATTTAAAGCTTTCGTGACTGCAGGGATTCATCTTCTTGGTTCTTTCGGTAAAGTCACGTAGAAGGGAAGTAATAAAATAATAAAAATTAAACATAATAAAATAATTCCCACGACGTTTCGGCCACAACGCAAGCAGCTGTCCTCAGGTGAAAACCAGGTCTGTCGTTGTGGCCGAAACGTCGTGGGAATTATTTTATTATGTTTTATTTTTATTATTTTATTACTTCCCTTCTACGTGACTTTACCGAAAGAACCAAGAATATTCTCCACGACAGTGAAGCTCTCCCCTTCGCGCTCCTCCTGTCCCCAACTAAAACATTCGCGGTGGCCCCCCTCCCCCTCGCTCCGCTCCAACGCCCTAAAATTCCCGGAAAATTCGCAAATCGCGTTTTTACCACCGAGGAGATGTTTCTTTCGCGTCGCATCATTTCATCGCGGATTTTTGTTTCAAGGGTTTCGGCGAACGGTCCTTTTGAACATCAAAGCGGACTCGATGAGTTCCGATGCGCGTTTAAAAAAAAAATCCCTCGATCGGACACGAGTCCAGGAGATGATGGAAGTAAGGGGGGGGGGGGAGGGGGGAGAATTAAAATAAAAACTCCAACTCACGTCCTGGTTGCTCATGTCCCAGTAGGGCCGCTCGCCGTAGGACATCACCTCCCACATGACGATGCCGTAGCTCCACACGTCGCTCGCAGACGTGAACTTGCGGTAGGCGATCGCCTCCGGGGCCGTCCAACGCACCGGGATCCTCCCTCCCTGCTAGCAGCAGCAGCAGAAAACGGAACGCGACATTCACACAACCTTATCAACCTTGTCGACGACGACAGCACCGTGACCTGGGAAATCTGCTCCCCGAGCGTATCGTTTCCTGTTATTGTACTGCTATTGTTTTTAATTACACTTGTTTACCCAGGAGAGCCTCACGAGAGTCTAACGAATCTTTTTCAGCAGCAGGGTACCGCCAAGTTTTCACAGTAGCGGGAGATTTTTGCTGCACCGCGTCAAGGAAATTGAGTCATTTGCTGATAATGTTTCCGGAGGAAACCCGTGCAGAACAGGTGGGAGAAAATACAAAAAAAATCGACATCGAAAAGGCACTCGAGTCAGGAATCGAACTCAGGTCCTTCTTGCTGAGGCACAAGTGTTACCACTTGCGCAGAGGTTAGTGCATTGCGCTCTAAACGGTGACCAGTTCAATACCTGGTCAAAGCTAACGTCAGAGCTGGTCATTCACCAAGTTGAAAAGATCAGCAATGTATTGACAGGGGCCTTTACACTTTAAACGTGAAATCAACAGGAGCACCCGTCTGTTAAAAATGTCAGGTATTTCATTGGAACGTGTTTCAAAATGTAATCAAGACATTTCAAGTGAACTCTTCACATGCTGCAGACCGTTGCGGCACTTCTACCATGGGAAATTAAGCAAAGTGCCTCTGTAGGAATCTCTTCAGTTGTCCGTGCAGTTGAATTAAACTTTGTCGTCTCAAACTAAGTTTAAAGCCAGAATTGGGCTTCATGCTCCCTATACTTTACCACGCGTTCAATGTGGCATTTAGTACTTAATTAATTTTCAACGTAAACCGTGTGTTTAGTGTGTACTTGAGTGTTATGTGCAAAAGAAACGTGGTTATAGTTGATCAGCAACTGCTACTGGTTGTCAAACTTTACCTTTTAGAAGTCCCATCGCTCAAGACCATCGTTTTTTGGTGTTATATGTGTTTGTGCACCACTGCCAAGGGTTGTATCACTTGTTCTTCGGCATGCGCTGTACTCTATGGATTGTAAGAAAATGTCCCCCTTATTTGCAAACACAAGTTGGAAGTGCGTCTTATAATCTAGTAGGCGTATGTTACCAGATTAGTATAACTTTATCGATACTAGGCAAAGTGTTTGGGTTTCATCTTACTCTCCTAAGTGTCTTCTTGGTTATTTCGGTAAAGTCACGTAGAAGGGAAATAATACAATAATAAAAATAAAACATAATAAAATAATATTATATTATTATATTATTTTATTACATTATTTTATTATGTTTTCTTTTTTTTCTTTTATTACTTCCCTTCTACGTGACTTTACCGAAAGAACCAAGAAGATGAATCCCTGCAGTCACGAAAGCTTTGCATCTCCTAAGTGTCTTCCAATAAAAATGTTGATGACAGAATGTCTTGTCACGTGATAACTTTCAGCGATTTTTCAATCCACCGTTGGATGAAGTCCTGCCCCACACTGTGTTGGTCATGAGGCTTGTCTGCTGCTTATACTTCACCACGCTGGTCGGCGTGGGTTGGTGATGGGGGTGACAAAGGTCAACTCGGACATCACCTGCCACTTGACGGACTGCCGTTTTGCAGCACCGTGGCCAGGAACGCAACTTAAGTGCACCGTTCCATTCCAACAAGTGTGGTCAAACGACCCACAGCACAGTGTTTGGAGGGGTTTTCATCCATCAGTGGAACTTACTTTGTCCCCCCCCACCCCTTCGTCTTAAACTAGCACTACCCTCGTATTTGCGTGAGATCCATAGGCGGGGGTGGAGGAGGGGTGGGGGAGGGGGGCGGGGGGTAGGTAGGTGTGCGTCATCGCGACGCACGAACGCGGACTCAACACTATTGGATGGCAGGTGACGTTACAGCGCATCGATCTGCCCGTGCGATAGTCAGCAAAACTTACATTTTTAACGGACTATGTTATATTTCGATTTAAAGCTTTCGTGACTGCAGGGATTCATCTTCTTGGTTCTTTCGGTAACTTTACCGAAAGAACCAAGAAGATGGACTATGTTATGTTTGCAGATGTCAGAAAAAAGTCCAGGTAAAGCTTGAAAACTCTCACTATGCATATAAAATATGACCAGTCGCGCATTAAGCGTATTGCAAAGTGAGAATCATGACTGTATAAAAATGTTTCCCCACCTAACAGCAAAACTTAACGTCACATTTTCTAACAAACGTGTGTGGGACTGCATTGCTTAAAACGTACATACAAATGCCTTTTTATAGAAGCCCGATGCATGAGTTTAATTATTAAAAAAATCTGGAATATCACAATCTCTGCCAGATAGGGTCTCACCTGATGACATCACTGAAAGAAATGAAAATCGTTTTGTGGTCCATCAAAATGTCCAGAAATTATCATTCTCGACTCTGAGCTTTGAGCCAACGCTTTTGAATGAGCGGCCTTGTGATCCCACAATTGCAGGGATCAAACGAAAAAGTCTACACTTTATTATGGGTAGAATGAAAACTCTTCAAAGGAAAAACATGTTGAACAAGATCGTCTTATGCGTATCACACGTGCATTCTTGGGGAAGTGGTGGCGATGTGGTCAGCACACTACGGTATATACACCAGGTGACCTGAGTTCAATTGTCAGGCCGTGGCTGACCCGTCCTTAGCGAACGGCATCGTGATCTCTGAACTGATTGTGTGCAACCAACCTCTTCACCAAGCCGCATCGAACAACGGTGGTGAAGTATGGTCAGACAGCCACCGTGACTGACACAACGTGGAGAGAGAGGCCTTCATCCTGCAGTGAATTGATGAAGGGACTGAAACTGATTGTATGTTTTTTTACTACCCATTATCAAACGAATAAAGTAAAAAAACATGTTTTTCCACTCACACAAATTTTTGTTAAATAACCCACATTAGACCAATACAATTTCAACTATATTTTCTCCCCATAAAACGCATTTTCTCCTTGTAGTTGGTAGAGTAGTTTATACCAACTGCTGAATGATAAATTGACCATTAAAAGGCTGATTCTCCTGGGAATGAAATAAATGGACAAAAGTTTCTTTTGAAAATTCCTCTTAAAACAAACACACTTCAGAGCTTGCGCTCCACATTTAAAATCTTTAAAGTTCTCAGTGCCTGCTGATCATGCAAAAAAAAAAACCTATTAAAACATTCGCAACATAAACACATTCCATGCTTTGCATTCAACAAAAAACCCAGTTTAGACTGTGAGTGTGTGCGTGCACTGGGCCAACATTACTCATAGGGTTGCCACCTCTGAGGTTCAAATAAACGGGACACATCATGGGGAAAAATATCTCAGTATCGGAAGAGGAGAAAACCACAAGTAGATGAGTTCTGGATTTTCAGTGCTGTATGACTATATTCTCCATGTTATAGGATGCTCTGGAAAATAAGACATCCTGAAACTGGATTATAAAATCCAACCCCGACGTTTTCTTTTTTAAATATATGGAGAAAATTAAGTCCATAATAAATCCGAGAACATGGGATTACGCAATTGACAAAAACCGAGATTTTTTAATGTGCCTGGAAGAATTAAAGATCTTCCCAAGGCACATCTGTCTCAATAAGAGGGACGTTCAAATAATAATGTGTGACACTTTGCATGTATGCCATTCGTATAGCAAGGCGGTCACGAAGGCGCAATGTTTCGCAGGCATCGTCTGCAGGATTTTTGCGGTCAGGGACAATGTTGCTATAAGATTTTTCTTTTCACCATACTGGCTCACACGAGTAATAAAAAAGAAACGTGACAAAGTCGGATCGTGCCGCCGGCACACACGCAATAACTTCCTTCCCTTTTTCAAATTCGGTCACGGGATCTCCAACTTCCGCCGCCAAGCAGACGCCGCGGCATTAACCAGGGGGCGGCCGCTGGGCCCGAACCGCACATCTACGCAACGAGCGGCAAAGGCGCTGCCGCCGAGCCCGCGTGTCGCCGCGCCCGGGGCCAGGTGGCAACCCCAGGGACTCGGTGTCGTGTGTTTCCTGCCGGCTTTGCTTCGCGCACCACCTTGGCGGTGTATGCGGCCTCGGGGTCGTCCTCCAGCACCCGCGACAGCCCGAAGTCGGACACCTTGCACACCAGGTTGCTGTTGACCAGGATGTTGCGAGCGGCCAGGTCGCGGTGCACGTAGTTCATGTCGGACAGGTACTTCATGCCGGCCGCGATGCCGCGCAGCATCCCCACCAGCTGGATCGATGTGAACTGCCCGTCGTTCTTCTGCGTGGCGGGTTAAACCAAAGTAAAAATGGTCAGGAACGGTTAAAAAACAATAATATATAAATGCCCCTATTCAACTGGCATATTTGAGCAGACTGCTGATATGGAGGCCTCATGGTGCAGGTTCGTCGTTTTCTACTCGCTCATTGCCAAGCTGAGCCAGAACTAAACCGTGATGAGTTGGCCTTGCAAGACATTTGAATTTGACTCCAGGCGAAGCAGTTGCAGGAATTGGGCGTATGTATGTAAATATGTTGAACTTCTTTCACACCGTACGTAGCAAACCGTGCTTATCAGAGGTGTCGGGGAAGGACAACAAACTAAAGACAAAAGGCAATGACACATTCATTGCGTGTGACGTCAAGTCAATACGGCGCGAGGACACAGCGTCACGGCGTCGTCTGCATTTGCGTCCTGACTCGTTCAGTGCATGTTGCATCAGTAGGACGACCTGGCTTCTGCGGTGGAAACACGAACTTGCGCTCCCGTGCCATGCCGGCCTGGTTGAGGCCATGTACAGCAGATTCTACAAACAATTGTAGATATCCATATGAGGGGTAATAGCTGTAAAACACAGCAGAATGTGTATAGCTTGGGCAGCTATTCAAATTGGACCAGGATCAAAATGATCAAGAGGTGGAACACAGCATGGGATGGAGTATTATTGGAAACCTGGGACTTGATAATGAAAAGTAAACATACTGATGTGCTGAAAAATAACTTTTTTGCATCAGTGTCTATGACCTATCCGCTGTGACATATTTACTTCAATATCACAATATCGAGGACGCTTAGCAACGGATTTAACGCAAGAGTGGGAAATTGTATAAAACATAAATTGGGAATTGCACAAAAATGTTTTCTACACCACCTTATTGTATATGGCCTGTCTGTGTCTGGAATGTTGTACTTTTTCACTATTGCATTAAAAAAAACACAATCGGTAAAACCGTCCACAAAAAAGCAAGGGCTCAATTCTAATTTTTTTTATCACTACGTTATTGACAAAGGTGAGCAATGGTTGCCACTTGTAACAACTTGCAGCCACTTATAAAAATCCAGTCCGCTTGAGCTGACACATTTCTCATTTTCTAATATTGTCCTTGGCTGGGGCAGTTTCTGCAAAATTATAGAAGGAGAATAAAATAACAATAATACGAATAAAAATGCGTGCGTTTGCGGTAAATTGGAAAAGGGCCATTCAGCGCTCAAATGCTTTTTGCTGATGTCGTTTTTTTTGCAAATATCCATTTGGTGCGTCCGTAGCTGATGAGTGGGTGTAATAATGCCGCCGTGACAGACTAATTGCTTAATGTGTTTCTCCTTTTCAACCTGTCTCGTTTAATTGTAAATTCACGTCTGTGTTTACCCGTGGCTTTGCCCGCGCCGTTTGTCAGTTGCTGAGCAAGGCGCCGACAAAAGCAGAACCACACTAACTCCGGTTCAATTTCGATTTAAAGCTTTCGTGACTGCAGGGATTCATCTTCTTGGTTCTTTCGGTAAAGTCACGTAGAAGGGAAGTAATAAAATAATAAAAATAATGAGAATTATTTTATTATGTTTTATTTTATTATTTTATTACTTCCCTTCTACGTGACTTTACCGAAAGAACCAAGAAGATCACTCCGGTTCGTTTTCATTGCAAGTTCAGTTTCCCCCGTTATTGTTTGCTTCATTGTAAAGCTTCCCTGCCGATTGTAATACTCGACTGCCATGTTATGACATCTTTATTGGAGGGGCAGCGGGCGGTTGGCGCATCCCATCACCCCTCTGGCGTCGATGTAATGAGCACCACTTTGTGGCGAAATCAGCAGTGGTTGGCCTACGGTCTGACTCGTCCCCTGCCATAGGAACGTGGAATTCCCACCACTGTCTCACAGAACTGTAAGCAGGAGGTGAACACCGCCTCAATTCTCGTTCGAGCAGCAAAATCACTTTTTTGACTCTTTGCTACCGCTCGAACAAGACAGTACCAGCAAGAGCTGGCCTACGATATGTCCATTGGCAATTACTAACAACATGTGTACAGCTTTGATTACAGACGTATTGGGCATGGTGGTTGTTTAACCGTACGTGGCCACGCTCGTCAGTGCGGGTTGGCGAGGGCAAGGATACTCTGGCACCGTTTGGATATCACTCGCCACTGATGTTGGTCGTTGCTGGGAATCAACCTCAGGCTCTGTCTTCTCGACCTGTTCTCCACCTGAGGACGAATGCTTGCGTTGTGGCCGAAACGTCGTGAGAATTATTTTATTATGTTTTGTTTTTATTATTTTATTATTTCCCTTCTACGTGACTTTACCGAAAGAACCAAGAAGATGAATCCCTGCAGTCACGAAAGCTTTAAATCGAAATTCAACCTCAGGTTGTTGGGTGAAGAGCAGAGAGGGCCTCGCACTGTGCCACCGTTCTCTCCGCATTGGCAATTAAATGAGCCGACATCGTATTTTGTATTATTATTATTATGATTCACGTATTAATATCCTTTTAAGAATATTTACAAATTTCTACTATTGGCCAACATATGTTCTGGCTGAATATAAACGTTTAATGAGCATCGCAAACGCGTGTAGCAATGCAACAGAATCCATTTAACAAAATCCAAAACCTGTGTAAAAAAAGAGAACGTATACACACTTGGGAACATGCAAAGAGATTAGGAACGACGCAAAATGGACTGTCAAGGCTTATGAAACCCATTAAAATAAATAACCTTGGAAGTGCATTAATAGCCCAGAAAGGGTGATATAATAATGAATCACGCAGTAAACAAAAACACATTTAGACGCAGGGGAAATTTGAATATTTCACTGCTGAATAAAGTTCTTCACAATTTGTTTCCATCTCTCGTGAGTTTGCAATTCACCTGCACGTCGCCCCAATCTATTAAAACTGAAACTATATATTTTTATGTTATTTTACCAGGTAAGGCTCACTGAGCTAGAAAGCTCTCATTTTCAGAAGCGACTTGGCCACAAATGATAGCTCACCAAAGTGGCTTATCATATGAAAATCTACAGCGATCAAATACTATAAATCCATGTTGATTCTAAATGTGGAGGGAAAAACCGGAGGACCCAGAGAAAAATCCACGCGACCACGGGGAGAGAGACACGCAAACTACATATATACAGCAGGCGTCAGGGTCGGGATCGAACTCACGACCTCCTGCATACCAGGAGAGGTAGTTAAAATATCGTTATCGTGGCACCCTCAGTGGATGGTCCCATCGGACGTGCTCCATTCCTTGGCTGCCACTCCATCACTATTCTTGACCATCGGTTGTCGTCCCTTCTCAGCAACGTGGTCTGTCCCAGCCCACCTACTTTTCTCCACAGTTTGAACTTTAGTCTTTATCGTGCTCCTCTCTCTGTCTCTCAATGTACTTCCAGGCCTGCTAGTCGGCCAGTAATATTATATTCGACCAGTTGAGAGACAATTGAGACTACACGTTCACTTTCAGAGCGAGATCTTGGATATGAAGGCAACTAGAAGATGCAGATACACATTGAATATTGTTTGGTTGTGGTGGTGGACTCGTAAAATCCATAAGCTTAAAGGCAAGATAAGTCTATCACAGATGGATCAATTAATGTGCCAACCTGCAGGGCATTGAGGTACCTATAGGGGACAGTAGAATGAGTATGATTTGAAACCTATCTACGTGGAGTTTTGAGCGTTCTTCAACCATTTTAATACATTTCCTAGATATGCAGGCTCTCCGATGTTTTCAAAGACAGAAAGACAGTCCGAAAATTGAGCAAAATTTAAAAGCAAGACATCTGAAAATGTATTTTAAAATGCATTGATACTTTGCTTGGTAAATGAAGAAATTAGTTGTGCTTGTTTCTAAAATCTCCCCGGTGTCTCTTAACGCAGCCGTATAATGGGTGAACCACAGTTAGTCGATCGCGAGGTCACGTGTGGTGTGCCAAAGTGCGGCTACTTCCAATCTCGTCCAAGCAGTCTGGCCAGCATGAAAGATTAGGCCGAGTCGCCTTCTCGAGGGGCTCGTTTTAGAGCTACCTCTAGCGGAGGCTCCCTTCCACCAGCGGTGGCGGGCAGCAAGCAACTGCAGGGCTGCACCTTTACCTTTGTATGGTTGTACAGAGAGTAAATGAACGTCGCCAAACATGAAGAGGCCTTCATTCGCCAATGAAATTGCGGCTGATGGGGCGATATTCGCTACATTACACACAGGCTTTAGAACATTACAGTATAGCCGATAGGTTTAGGCGAATGTGAAGATAATCTTAACGCCCCGTTTCTTGTAATATTCACACAATTAACGTCACAAATAACATCGTATTAAAGGTCTGCGTTAAGCGAATGCATTTGAACCACGAAGCAATTTTTTCGTATCGACAATAACAAAAATTAAATTATTCATTACTTCCGAACGCACTTACCCTTAGGAAGGAGTCCAGAGAGCCATTCTCCATATATTCCGTAACAATCATGACTGGTATACCTGTAAGGCACACATTGCAATCAGTGAATTTCATTACCGAATGCATCCACGCATACCTAACCACCTAAATACTACAGCACTCACAACTGTCCCACCGGCAAGCTTACCATTGCTGCGCGAAACTTTGGCTTTGCGTCCGAAGCCTCCTAAACATTGTCGCTTATGCAACATTTTCTAATTGGCTTCTATTTTCAGCCAGGGCTCTTCCTCCCCTCAGGTCAACTTGGCATGAAATTAGCAGCTGGCTGTTATATGTCAGAGCTGAGTTGGTGTGTAGCAAGGGAAAGGGCTGAATGCAGTCAACCGCGGAGCTAGTCACACACCTCTAGCTTCAATCAAGTGCTCGCTAATAATTCCTTCTCAGCTTGCAAATCACTTTTCCCGGGGTGGGCGAAATTCTGCTGCTACTACCACCGCCGCTGCTGCTGTTGCTGCTGCTGCTGCCATAACCAAACTTATCCCTTCCAGAAACATCGTGTGCATGTTTTCGTATCAATTCGTCACTTCCGATAATATACACTTGGGATGAGGTTTGTACGTAAAGGACAAAGTAGAATTTCTTTGGGGGGATAATTTAGACGAGGCAATTGTTTTACGCGCCGTTGCCAGATAACACCACGTTTGATGGGATAATGGAAATGTGACATTACATAAAGTGACATTACATTATGTGATGTGACATCGTTGGGTCAATCCAAAACATGAAAAAAAAATCGGGATCTTCCGAACGTTCGTGTTTGGGCCCATGTTTCGCATTTTTTGGATTAATATGAATAATTGGGAACGTCCCTAATATATACGTTGTTACGGACAGCTTGAATGTTGTATTTTCCTTAGGTGATGCACTGATGAGGAACATGCTGCTGATGTAACCAGGAACGCGATAAGGAGAGAGCCAAGGTTAATTACCGTAGAGATAATATCGTGCGATTATCGGTCACCTTTCACCGAATCTAATAACGCTTAGAAATATTCAAACAGACCCATGTACACAAATTATGCAGAGTAAATAGGCTGGATTATTTACATTCCATGTGATCATAGAGGATGATACTGTTGCTTGGTATAAGGTGAAGGCACAGCCCTGCAATCTCACACGCCAGAATCTGTTTTCTTTTTTATACTGGATGAATCCAATGAGCCACAAGGCGCTTATTTTTACCCACAGTCCCTTTCGCCACTGCTGGTAGAAAGGGCCTCCACTAGAAGCAGCTTAGGGTAGCCCATCTAGGGGTGTAGGTTTGTTTAGGCCTGCTCTTCCACGCTGGCCAGACGTCTCGGGAGAGGTGAGAGAATACCCACACTTTACCCCAGCACGAGGAGACCTGCCAATCGACTCGTTGTGCTGCATCCATTTATACCGCTCGGTGGACAGAGGACAGCGGGATTGAATAAAGCAAGCTTGCCCCCATTGTTTCAGCCCCATACATTCCAAACGCGCTCACCCATTACACTCGGACTGCATTGCCAACACCCAGCAACATGAACTTGTTTTCATATTTGTCTGAAAGGCCAGAGCCATTGCTCCAAACAATACGATTTCAATCCCCATTCTGTAATAACTCATATGCAGCAAACATCCCTTGTGCATTAGTAGTGTAAAGGGCCGTAATTTTAACAAGTCATCTGAGCATCTGGAATCTGATACAGACTCTCATGCTGCTAATTAACTCGTGTTTTGTGATTTAAAAAAAAATCCCTCCCCCTAATGCTTCACAGACACCGGGCAGCTGTGGCAATCAAACAGCCGGAATTCTGAAGACCGCCTTCATGGCTCAGTGTCTAACGCATGGACGACCACCAGAAGGTGTGGGGACGTGAATCAGAGATAGCGGGGGGCGGGGGGGTCACACACACAGCACACAGCACAGGAGCAAGTCCTACAAGGATGCAATGTCACGCACACGCAGACACAGAGACGGGCACTACCGCAAGGCAAAGACTCAGTTCGCCCGGATAGCCTCAACAGACTGCTGGGACAAGTTTGCATAGCGAGCACCTATCAAGGCCACTTGATAGGTGTTATGCCCAGCTGCCTTTGTCTCCCCACTGCTGGTGTTCACACAACATGCTAGGTACTCCTGTACGGTCGAGTCAACTTCGGGGGAAGTCCAGGGTATGTTTTCACACCGGTGTTAGTCAAGGTTGGGAGTTGTGCGGTGTGCTAGTCACTCGCACCGCCGCTCCATGCCACATAAACACGTGCTTACAGGAACCCACGCAGCAACGCATACATAGCAAAACAACAACAAAGATATTCTTAGGTTTTTTCGGTAAAGTCACGTAGGTAAAAAAAAAATTAATAAAAGTAAAATAAAAATAAAATAAAAATCACATTTACTTTTATTAAATTTAATTTTTTTTACCTACGTGACTTTACCGAAAAAACCTAAGAATATGAATCCTTGCAGTCACGAGAGCTTCAAATCTAGAACAACAAAGATCCCCTGCGTGCGCCTTAACAAACTGTTGGGGCAAGTGCTGTTAGCGAGCAACTGTGAAAGGCCGGCACGCCAGACGAAGGGGTGGGTGGCCAGCACCACGTCCAGACGCTATCGTTTCCCAAGTGGCGATGTTTACACATCGCACGAGGTAATTATTTGAGTCCGAGTGGACCTTGAGGAGACCCCGGACTGGTTCAGATAATCGTCACAGGCGTTGGCCGTGAGTGGGTACCCACTCATACTACATAGGCCCTTTGCTCACACACCAACGCATAGGGTGGCTGCAGTAAGGTACCTTTTGCTGAAATCCCTTAAAAAAAACAGAGGTCCTTTCACCTGAAAATATAAAAAATAACGGGATCGCTATATAAAATTCTTAGCTTCTTCTCACTATTCCGTCAATACTCGTATGTGCGCACACATTAGCTCACTTATTTTCATCAAACCCCCACTCGTGAATCATTTTTTCTAGTTTACACCCTGTGATTATATTGATTGCAATAATGGGGCTTCATTGCATCACCGGGCTCGCGCGGCCGCGTGGGCATCGTGGGTGGTGAATCAGTATTCAAGGGGCGATGTCACCTTTGCAAAGGTGAGAACAAAGTCGGGGGGTTCGCCGCGATGTGGCGACGCCACGATATATACACCCGTACGATGCAAGAGCCGCGGCAATCGCATCGGTCATTTCGTTTGCAAAAAGTATCGTTTGTCGTAGTTCGTTGAATATGTGTTGTGTGCATTTGGCAGCACGTGCATTACGCGCGTGTTGCGGATTCTAAGGTTGCAATGACTAGAAGGCTTCGAATTTGAAGACTTGTTGTTGCCAGAAAATTCAGCTAAATAACTTTTAATTATTCTTGACTTGCAGTGGTTCTACAGGAAAAAACTAAAGAAATACAATACTAATACTAATGCAACATTCAAATGCAGAGTTATTTGAAAATGGTGTTGCGATAATCGCGACACCGCAAAAGTAAAACGTTATCTCGTCATGAACACTGATTTCACGCGGCCTGAGAAAAAGCGTAGCTTTCTCTTTTCTACCTCTTCATCTTATTCCCCCTCTTTCCTTTTGCTTGTTTTCACCCATTCTCTAGATCACACCCAGAGCCACTTGTTGATGCACGTGTTCATGCCGGTCAGTCCCGACGTCGTGTACTCTCGCTCTGTGCTTGGCGCGTTGACCAAAAGAACAAAGTACATCACTCACTCTTGGTGATGACCCCCTCCAGCCTGATGATGTTGGGGTGATCGAACTGGCCCATGATGCTGGCCTCGCACAGGAAGTCTCTGCGCTGCTCCTCCGTGTAGCCGGCCTTCAGCGTCTTGATGGCCACGGAGGCCTCTCCCTTCCCAGGCAGCCTCAGCCGACCTCGGCACACCTCGCCAAACTCGCCTGCCAATTGCAAGCGCACGTGTCAAAATCCTCGCCCCGGTGGATAAGCATCGTACAAGGTTTTTCTGTCCCCGTATCGTACGGCAAATTTCCGCGGTAATGGAATTACGGCTCGGGACGTGAGACGGATCCTCCCGCGGTGTGACGGTTAGCGCACCGGACTTGCAATCCGGACGTCGCAGGTTCAATTTGATGTCACGGCGGAGCAGTTAAAAGAAAAGTGCAAGTTTCCTAGCTCTCTCCCCGCGTCTATCCAGCCAGCAATGGAAATGGGTACACCACGCAGTCGTACGATTGGCATGCCGAACGTAGTGGCGCAAAGTGTGGGGGCTCCCACATCTTCCAAGATGTCTGGCTGTGTAAAAGCGTAGGTCCAATGCCCTCTCAAGGAAGTCTCCAGAGCCTCCTCTAGTGGAGGCCCTTGCGCAAGCATTGACAAGCAATTGCAGGGCTGCACTTTTACCTTTTTACATACGCCGGCCGTTCAAGGTTAACACGCGCTTTTTTCCTTCTCGATAATTCACGAAAAAAATGACCGATCGCTGATAAAACAGTTCGTGGGGTGGCATTGACAACATTTGTTTGGCAACTTCTGTGCCGGTTTAGCTCACAGCTGTGCAAAGATATCTGGGTATTTTATGGATGGTGGGGAAATGTGTCAACTTCATTACCGCGTTGCATAAATAAAGTTTCCCCGTGAAGGATAATATACACGCTGTCCGCTTCTCAGTGGACGTTAGAGATCCCGTGACATGATTTCGAGAAAAGAGTAGGCCTTCGAATTATTCTTTGGTTCTTTCGGTAAAGTCACGTATAAAGATAAAATAATAAATTAAATTAAATACTAGCATACGACGTTTCGATTGCAACACGAGCAATCATCATCAGGTATAAATTAAATAGAAATACAAATCTAGTATACTTAGAAATGTAATGTAATACAACAGAGAGTCGGATAACATAACAGTCAACAACCTATCTGGTTGATTACGTTCTTCCTGAGAATGCTAAATTTGAGAGAGAGATTAAACACAGAACCAGAAACATAGACAGATATATAAGCAGACAATTGAAACGTCGTATGCTAGTATTTAATTTAATTTATTATTTTATCTTTATACGTGACTTTACCGAAAGAACCAAAGAATAATTCCTGCAGTCACGAAAGCTCCAAATTAAGTTTAGGCCTTCGAATGCTGGCTTTGCGGGCCAAAATTTGCCAAATTTTGGAAAATGTACTCAATTGGGAAAACCGATATCAAAATTGTCCCCTCCTGCGTTAACTTAGCGGGACATTGCCTAAAATGAGCCTTAAGAAGCAAGCGAGGCTTTCCTGCCAACATCAATGCAATTCATTTGATAAATACATATGGAAGACCTGTAATGCGTGGAAGTTAAAATACGGTTTCTGCCGGCTCCTGCACTGATGTGTAACAATGCCAAATGAAATGCGTCGAAATGAAAGTGCCATTACGAGAGATTTTCGTCAATTTATGGAAACTATTTCCCACCCCGTTGTAGAACTTTAACAATGTATAATAAATTAAAATTTACAATGCGGCCATTGTCGCTTCTTCTGCTGTTCATTAAAATGAGTCAATTTGTCAAAATGAAGCAAAATTTAATTCCAGCACCACGTAAAAGGCTTGCTCGGGCCCTGTAAATGTTTCATTGGGCACTTGTTTGTGTTGAGAGATGAATTGAAGCATTCCTTGATTAAAAAATAAATCTAACTTTAAAAGCAAATTATTCTTGCCGTCCGATGTGAATGCAGTAGCGCTGTGACTATTACCCATACAAATGCTGATTTATTTTCCACTTGTTAAAGTAAAACATTTCTTAATGATCACAAGCAATTCATCCGTTAAATGCACGTTGCAATGCAGGGCCACTGATTTGTTTTTTTGTTGGATAAGGGAAGGATTTTACAAGTCGGTTCTTAAGTGGCACAATAGCTCATAAAGTTGATGGATGCCACGTAATAGGAAACAACGGTATTCTGGTGCTGAATTGATGTACGTGTTCATATATGGGAGCTTGTAAGATGTGCACGGTTACGTGGGCGAGCTCGACTCTTACAAATATGATCAAATATTGAACAATGCAGTCTCGCTTGAATACAAATGACCATTGACAGGCCAGAGGACCGCAACATCAGTTTGTTGCCTTCAGACCTTTGAGAAATAAAAATTGTTGTGAAACTGCACAGCATGATTTAACGTCATGAATTCACCAGTAAATATGTAACGTTGTGCCAACGTTGGCCCAACGGTTCCATTCCAACCACATCCCAACGTTAACCGAACGTTGCGCGTTCACTGGGGGGTACTCTTCTGACGTGCTTTCGGGATGTGCACCACGTGACGATATCCAAGGTTTCGCTCCACACGCTGGGAGCTTTGTTCTGGAACCGAATTGAGTTCAATTCCCAGCACGTGGAGCGAAACGTTGGACAACGTGCTGAATAACGCCCGGAAACACATCGGATAGCTTTACATGCAGTAGTATTTCATGAATTAGTCACCAGTTCATTCAGTTTCAAGTGACTCTGAAAACGACTGTTTTATAATTAATCACTTGGCTTACATTACAGCTTACTTTCCCCCATCCTTCGACGGGCGCCTCGCGAGAGTGAAGATATCTGCTTACCGGCTCCAACGACGCCTTCGATTTTGATGTACGAGACGTCGATTTCTCTCGCGAACTCGTGGACAGCTTCGCATGGGTCTTCGTACGTAAAAGGGTCTATGTACATCTTCAGACCGGGCAATTTCACTGCAAAGACAAGCAAAGCCACACATGCCTCAAACCTAGAAGTTGTAATTACAGCATCAAGTGCAGTACTTTACTCAAACTTAAAAAAATTAACCCGTAAAAACAGAGTTTTTCACTATAAATCCTTTATATGCGTGGCGGCTAGAGTCATCTCGTCCACTGGCTTGAGATGGCTGCCACCTATGGGTCAGATGATTGCCTGCCACCATTAAGCAATTGGTAATTAAATATAATTTATTTTTTCTAAAAAGTGTAAAATTTTGGAATTTTTTTTCACGAAAATCAATTGTCACGCACAACGAGTCTGTGTGCAAAATGTCAGCTCGATTAGATCACGGGAAGTGGGTTAAAAAACGACCGAAAGATTTGCACGGTCGTAAGCGCGCAAGCAAGCAAGTGAACTTAATATAAAGGATTTAAAAATAGGAACTGATTAACGCCCCTTCGGCTGGCATTTCTCGTGAAGGAGAATAAGCTATCACGCAAACTCCAATTAAGCACGGTTGGCAATGTACGGTGTGAAAGAAGTTCAACATACATACATGCAAACTCCGCTCATCCTCGCAGCAGCTTTTGGCTAACAATCAAACAAAAGACGGCCATTGCATCGCGCGTTTTCAGATGCGCCACTGCAGCCGATTGGAACACTCTTTCCTTCCGATATCAGGAAGCCACTGGAGCTATGCACTTTTACATCTAAATTGGAAAGTCAATTCTTTAGAACCTGCTTTTTGTGTTTAGTTTGGTGTCCTTACCCCGTCCCTTCGATCAGCACAGATGGTTATGTACGGTGCGAAAGAAGTTCAACATGCACAGGTCCATTCCCGTACGTCAGTTACGAACCTTCCACTCCGTTTGATCGCAAAATATTGTCCGTTCTCTCAGTCTCCACATCGTCATTGACAGGAGCTTACTGCTAACCCTTTGCTGTCCCTACTGCTGGAAAACAAGCGTTTTTGCCTTCCATTCATACTTCTGAAGTTAAACAGTTTTGTGGAGATTGATATAAAAAAGCTCCACGCTTAACTAGTTCTATCCGTGTTTATATATATGTAGATATCTGTCTCCCGCATGTTTATAAAGCATTTGTATAAATGGAGCATAATAATTTGTGAATGATTATGTTATGCAAATAAGCAATTTGCACAAAGTGGGGCAATTGAAACGCAATCTCCATGTACTCGGTAATTCAACAAACTAAGTACAGTTCTGCCTTTCATGAAAACACATCTAAGCGTGGGAATGGTGGCACAGGAGGTGCCGCATGCGATATCAACGCGGTGATGTCTGAGTTTCGATGGCAAACTACGAAAAATATTGGTCGCGAAAGCCTACGCATTGAATTTTCCCAGAACAGTGTTCCGAATTGTCCTGGCTGAGATGAAGCACTCTATATAATTGAGCACATCTCAGATTGTGTTGGCGTATTCATCAGGAGATTGCGTGCAAGAGACTTCCACCGACAGAACATCCAAGGCGCTTGAAGCATGCAGCGCAGCGAACCGGGATTGCTGACCGATCTGCACAGAGTATGAGCGCTGGTCACCCGCCCCCCCCCCCACCCCCTTCTTGTGAGCACGCGTGTGTTTGTGTGGGATCTATTGGAGCACTCTAGTTTCCACCCACACGTAAACATGCTCAAAACGAAAATTGGGCTGACATTTCAAGCTCACGCCGTCGCAAAAGTGTTGTGAGAATCAATGAAAGCTGTCTTGAAGACATAAAATAAATAAATAGCACGTACACCACCGGCTTATTTATTGAATAAAAAAAGAAGCAGGCTGCTTACTTTTACACATTTGGTTGTCTGGAGGCCCTCCGTTAAGCGATTGGTCGTTAACAGGGGTGCTCGTTAATAGGGGTTCTACTATACACTACATTATACACTACATTATACACCACACTATACACTACACAATATACTACAATACACTACATTATAAACTACACTACTATACCCTACATTATACACTACATTATACACTACATTATACACTACACTATACACGACATTATACACTACACTATACACTACACTACATTATACACTACACTATACACTACACTATACACTACTATGCACTACACTACTATATTCTACACTATACACTACATTATACACTACACTACTATACACTACATTATACACTACACTACTATACACTACACTATACACTACACTATACACTGGGTTCTCTGGAGGCGCGTCGTTAAGCGATTAGTCGTTAATAGGGGTGCTCGTTAAGAGGGGTTCTACTGTATTGTAAACGACACAAGGGAGAGTTTAACATATTAGTGAAAAGTAAAACGTTACTGAGAATATCTGCCGCTACTGCTGCAACGTGCTAAAGAGACTTGGTGAACGTGACTGCACGTAAGAGGCTATGCTTACCATGGCTACCTTGGAAATGTTGCTTATCCTCGTCACAGTTTTGCTTCGCTTTGCTGTAACCGCAGTACCTGGGAAGAGAGAAGGCAGTTGCACGTTCAATGTTTGATGGGAAGAAAGTTCGTACAGAGTAAATCAAAGTATATATATATATATACACACACATATATATATACGATTATGTTACATGAAGTGTTTGTGATAGAGAAACATCTGTGAAGTGCTACAAATGGTGTATATGTAAAATGCAGTAAGAGCTAACTGAGTCAATGCTGAGGCTTAACATTTTGCAACAAGCAGTGTGAGAATAGTACAATCTGCGAACGTTTGCTTGTTAAAATGTGATATTGTAGGTGGGTTTAAAAAAACAGAATCTAACACAGGAATAGCAAATCAAAACAATCTTACATTGTACATTCTCTTGCTAATGTTCTTAATCAGTTACCGTATCCGAGTACTTTATTAGAATTTCGAGAGTTGTCATTTGGATTGATATTGTCCGATTACTATTTCGCTTAGACTTTATCTATGTTTGTGAGTGCGGTTTATTTTTTATGTACAGCGCTTTGAGATACTTCAATATGGAAGGCGCTTTATAAAAAATAGGTTAATATTGTTCAAAGGAATTGCTAGTGCTGTGCAATACCACGTATGAACAATGAATGGAAAAACAATGTATTGTTAAGACCAATATTACTCGGCAGCATTAGCTTAAACAAGCAAACTCTGACCCACCTATTGAAGACCTCCCCAATCTGTAAATGCCGTGGGGGGTTATGTGACTATACTTCACCATGCTGGTTAGTCTGAGTTAATGAATGGGAGTGGGCTATACACTGATGTTAGCCGTGTATAATCGAACTCATGTCCACGGGGGGGGGGGGGGGGGTTCAGAAATCTTACATTATAATGGTCACTGGGAAAGTGTCGCACCATGTCACGCATAAGACAAAGCTTTTTCTTGGCTCTTTCGGTAAAGTCACAAAGAAGGGAAGTAATAAAATAATAATAGACGCTGTCTCCCCGACAGACCTGTTCTTCACCTGAGGACGGCTGCTTGCGTTGTGGCCGAAACGTCGTGAGAATTATTTTATTATCTTTTATTTGTATTATTTTATTACTTCCCTTCTACGTGACTTTACCGAAAGAACCAAGAAGATGAATCCCTGCAGTCACGAAAGCTTTAAATCGAAATTTAAGACAAAGCTGTCCTGTTTAACTGACAACACCACGAGGAGGACAAAATGAAGATGTGCTATTGGGTCAAATTGAGGTCACGCGATTTATGATGCACGTAACTGAGATGTAGTTGGCAAATTTTGGTCGAAAATTAAAAAGACAATTCGTTTCACAATGCTGTCAAGGTCAAATCAAAGTCATGAAACCTTTCATGAATATTAGACAAAAAATATGTTTAAGAAGTTATATGTATAGAGTTTGAACAGTGGATCATTGATGGTCTATAATGTACAACCAAAGAAAGAATGTATGTAGACGTACAGAATATTGGAACAAGTGCTATTGTTAGGGAGCATCTGTCTCGGCTAATATAGCTCATTAGGAATGTATCCCAACAAAGCCACGCACACATACATTAGAATGTCAAATATCTGAAATAGAAGTGAAAAAGCTAATTTTCTAACCGTGTTCTTGTAATGCCATCATTAGTCTTGCAGGAGGAATAACATTTCCACATGCGCGTACACACACTTATGCATCGCACGTGAATACATTTTTGGATGCACAGGACAGGATTATATCCACACACAACAGCGCAGGTACACATGTACCCATCCACTCGCTCACAAGACAAGGCAAAGATCCCCCGTACAGCCTTAACAGACTGTTGGAGCAAGTGCTGTTAGCGAGCACCTATGAAGGCCGGAACGGTACACGAGGCGGTGGGTGGCCAACACCACGCCTGGCCGCCTTTGTCTCCCCAGTGGTGATATTTACACACCACACCAGGATACTCATTTGACCTATGGGAGGCCCATGACCGGTGTCAGATAATCGTCACTGGCATTGACCATGAGCGGGAATCGAACTCGGGTCCGCCGTGTTCATAGCGCAGCGTAGCGCTAACCGCTACAACACCACCGCTCCCCAATACATAGACGTATGAACACTTCCATGCACACACTCATCAGTCACGAAGACAAAGGTCCCCAGTTACACATCCAGACTGTTTGGGCAAATGCTGTTCGTGAGTGAGCACATACTAAGAAGGCTGTGCTGTAAGTTTAGTACAGCCAGCACCGCTGGTGGTGGTGGGTCACTTTTGTCTACCCGGGGGGTGGGCTGGCTGATATTGATAGCCGCGCACAAGTTACTCGTTTTATACTCGGGTCTCAAAATAAACAAACAAACCCCAGGTTCAATCATTACCCAATCATCTTCTGCGGGACCAGGGGCAGAACCTGAGTGGTTGGGAAAGTAGTGCAGCGTGCACATCACCACGACACCATTCTCGATAAAAATACAAAGATATCCTGTCTAGCCTTAACAGACTGTTTGGGAAAGTGCTGCTAGTGAGTAGCACCTATGAAGGCCCGTATGGCACACGAGGGGTGGGTGGCCAACAGCACGCCTGTCTCCCCACTGCTGATGTTTACAAAGTGCACCAAATACTAAATTTAAGGCTGAGTCTACCGAGGGGAGGCCCAGACAAGTACAATCGTGCAAGCACACATGGGTAGATGGAGGTACATACAGATAATGTACTGTATAGTAAAGCTCTGCTTATCAGCGCTCCTATTATCCACTCTTCCTATGATTCATGCCATGCCCAGCCTCCCCCACTTTCTGCATCGATCCACCCCCTTTCCTATTATCCGCACATCTATTCATCCTCTTACCTGTGCTTTACATAGATTTCGGGAGTAACTTTGAAGTCACAGAAAATTAATCCGATTATTTGCACTTATCCATTGGACTTGATCTGACCTGAAATGACTCGGAATCAGTCTCTAGGATGTACGGCAAGCCAACTATTATCATCCATACTCACCTTACAGATAAGAGGAGTCATCTAGCAGAAGTGGCTAAATTAATCACAGTATCCCTGTGCATCAACGATTCGTACTACATATTAGGTTGAACTGCACATATAAATTGCAAAAAATAGAATCTGCCCATGCACTAAAATATAATGTCCTACTCCAAAATATTAATGTATTTTAAAAGCAACAGTTGCCACCTGTCCTAGTTTCCCCAGGATCCTCCTCTTGTTGAAGTAGCTTTTCTTGGAACTCTACACATCTTTCCGGAACATTAAATGCCTAATGTTTGTCATTTGCACAATAATACAACACCCGAGACTATTTTACATGATGTTCTCCCCTCTTTATATATTGTGAGATATTCTCCTTTTACGACAAGTCTCGGTTTGTGTACCATTGAGCTTCTTTTTCTTTCGTACGGCTGTTGCAGATGCAGAGCGACGACTACAATTCCACATTCAGGTGGTCAAGCGAGATAACCCAGCGGTCAGGAGCAGCGGAGTGTGTCGCTCTGATGTCTCTTTCGTATTTGTGGATCGGGGCATTGCATCGCTACGTGTTCTGTGGTCTGCTCTGGATGACCACAGTCGCACACTGCTGCTGGAGAGATTTTAATTTCCCATTCGTGCATCACCAGGTATCCGCATCTACTGCCATGGTTTGTGTGGATGTGGTTTAAGGTGGAAGATCAAACCCAAGGACCTTCTGCATTGGGTCTTTCACGAGGTGTTTGTTTGTGAGCTCATTTGAACTCCATTCTGCTAACAATGCTAATGCTAATGAAAGGAGTGTTACTGTGTGTACACAAATGTGCACACACACATTGATGTCGGCAAATCTGTATGCATTTAAACACACACACACACAAAGACAACCACACACACGGTACACACCAATCAAAATAGGTCAACCATTGCATCTGCCTGCCAATTGCATCTGCCTGCCAAGTGGGATAAAAAAAATACAAAAGAAAAGTGCCTGATTAATATACTAATTTGCATTGACAAAAGCTTTGATATTATGTGGCAGCTCACTGATTACATGCAAAGATGGCCAAAGATCAATTAGCTCGAGCATGAAACCTGTGTTTATCCACACACGTGCTGTGGTCAGTAATAACACCAAAAACATCACCATTGATGGTGCATTTGCATACAGCAACAAATTGGATAATGTGATCTTAAATCTCAATATTTCTGAATATATTATACTCGTGTAAATATTCGAATTTTCCTCCAATTTCACCCAGATTCTGCTAACAGGGTCATTTCATTAGACAAAGTGTTCATTCTAATATTCATATCTCTTTGCAGGGCATTGCAACCCTTCCTAATAGGGAACAGCTCATGGAAGCAGTTATCATAGGGCTACCTTTGAAATTACTTTCAGAGACCTGTGGGCTACACAGCAGGGGTTATGCACTTTCTCACTCACTCTACCACTGAGAGTAATGACTGTTGCCACCACATTCAAAATTTACTTTTATTAATCCTCACACCTGGAATTCATCAAAATTAAGTACGTGGTTTCAATGGGATTTTTTTTTCAAATGGTCAATGCTGAAACTATAAACTCTCTATAATTGAGAGCCCCGTTTAATTGAAGGTGGCTGAAACCATAATTCGAACTCAGGATTCCAGTGCTGCCAGCTGAGTGCACTTAACCTCTGACCTCTGAGCCACCTCGGAAATAGTATTAACGTACAGAGTTGTAGGGACACTGGTTCCTAGGTTATGAATTGAACATTCTCATACTGTGCTGTAGCAAAGATAAATATCCCCCCGTATAGCCTGTAACGGACTGTTATGAAGGCCGGCACGGCACACAAGGGGGTGGCCAAACACCATGCCCGGCCGCCTTTGTCTTCCCAGTGGTGATGTTTACACACTGCACTTGGTACTTATTTGAGGCTGAGTCGACCTAGGGGGGAGGCCCAGGACTGATTCAGATAATCGTCACAGGTGTTGGCCGTGAGCAGGAATTTGATGCAGGTCACCGGGTTCGTAGCACAGCGCGCTAACTGCTACGCTGCCACTCCTCCGTGCATGTACACACACGCAAATGTACGC